CTTTCCCTCACTTGTTTTTTAGGCTATTGAAATGGATCTTTTTTTCTTTAAAAACTAAACTAAACTAAATTAAACTAAACTAAACTAAATTATTTTAGCTCTTTTTTGGTGCCACTGCCAAGGAATAATTATTTTTTTTTCTTCCCCAGTCAGATGTGTAAAGAAAAAAGATTATTTAATTTCATAAAGTTATTCGAATTATCCTGTTTGCTTGCTGGCTTTTTGTTATTCCTGATTCTAGATGGTGTCTAATTAATGATCTGCTGACTTACACGGAATTAAATTACAAAAAGTGTTTGAAACAGTACTTCAAACTCAATGACTTCTCTTCTTCCTCTGGATGTGGGTTGAATGTAGACAATGGAATGTGAATTTACAGCACAAGAGACAGTTCAGCTACTAAGTGTGGAGAAACTGGCTACCTGAGATATGCACAGTTCCACTATCTTGCAAATTTTTCATTTAAAGAGGGTTTTTCACTGGGCAAAATCAAATCTACTGTTTCCCACCAATTCTGTATTATATATGTTCCATTTATTGGCAAAATAATTCACATTCTTCCAACAGCTTGGGCAAACTTCCATGGATGTGTGAAGTGTGGCTGGATTTCCTGTCTGCTTATGAAGCAGCTGTGGGATCTGAACGGCACTTGCAGGGCAAGCATAGAATTAAAAGACCAAAAAGACATATCTCCTGTACTATCACTTAAAAGACTCCCTTTTTGGCATTAAACGGGACTTTGGAATTATATGCAAAAGTTTAATTTTCATTTGGAAAATGGTGAATTTCAGCTGGTGAGTTACAGCTCCTAAATCTCATGCCCTGCTTTATGGACACCAGGCAATTACCTTTGTTTGAGCCACTTCAGTTCCTTACCAGTTCACGTTCGGATATATTCTATAAATGTTTTTCATGATCATTTAATATTTAAGATTAATATTTACCCCAGAATTGATAAGACAATGGGCTTCCTTCCATCTGCTTAACAGTGATATTCTTAAGCTTCTCATCCACTTGAACTGAATGAATGGGTGAAGTGAGAACTGTCTTGCCTTCTACTAAAAATGCTCTAGCATTATACTTGCCGTTACCACTCTGTAATCATAAGTGTTCATACAAAAATGGACTACTGATCCCATTTCTGCTTATAAACTCTCAGGATATCAGAATAGATATTTCATTACACTTGAAGCAGAAATGAGTTACTTTCCCTATAAAGTTACTTTTTCAGAGAAATATACTTTCAGACACTTATCATTAAAAGTTAATAGACAAGGTCTCTCTGATATTTTATTTCAAGCAAATCGCCTACCACAATATTATTGAGTAGCATTTACTATGTAATACAATAACACTAGGACATGGCTCTTTCCTTGTACTCATTTATTTTTTGTGAAATATTAACGCATATCCAGTCAGCATGCTCTGCTGAGTCATTGTTTTGAAGCAGAATAATAAAATACGCCAAGTCATTTCCATTAACACTCTGCAAGGTTACCATGCTGGTGATTATTGACAACTGTGCCAACTCTTCAAACATGTTAGATTACATTTGTTGATTTTATTAGGAAGCAAGACAGCTAAACTATTTAACTGCTTCTTAGGTGTTTGCTGGGCTAGGCACAATAGTCAACACAACTTTGGAGACACTGGAGAAACTATGACACTTCTTGTGCTCAAGAGCACAAAGTGCATTCTCAACCTTCTGTGTGAAGAGAGTTCACAAGTTTGGCAGTAGCCACCGGTTCAGTTTTACAGCTCTCTGTTAACAATAAAACCAGGTGGATGAAAACTTTATTCAGTTTACAGAATGATAATAGTTAGCTGTGCAAACAAGTTGTTTTCTGTGATAACTGTTCTGATGAAGTCACCCACCTCTATGTATTCTGCCCTTGACTCCTTGTTTGCTTTTGACTTTGAAGTGTACTGTGCTTTTGTAATACAAATATGTTTGCCAAGGAATGGAGTTTACTAAATTGCTGGTTTTTTTTTTTTTTTTTTTTTTTTTTTTTTTTTTTTTTTTTTTTTTTT